TGCATCCCCAGCACCACCGGGGGCACCCATAAATAAAGGAGCAGAAATAATCCTGCCCAATAATCCTGCCCTGCCACGCGTTCCCTGTCTCAAGTGGCTTCAATTTAAATATAGACAGGGCCGGGGCTGCCACCGGAAAGGGGACATTTCTGCAGGGAGGGGACATTTCTGCAAGGAGGGGGCATTTCTGCAGGCCGGGGACATCTCTCCAGGCACAGCACCCACACAGGCCCTTGCAGCTCCGGCAGGAGCAGCCAGCCCAGGTTCCTTCCCCTGGGACAACCAGGGCAGACCAAACCCCCCTCCCGAGCCCGGCCGGTTCCACTTTTGGCAAGGAGGGCTCGTTCGGAGCATCTCAGGTGAGATGGCCCCGGAGGCCCCTCCCAGCAGTGCTCTCAGCCCCTCGGAGCCCTCGGAACCAGAGCTGGGAGAGGCTGGAGCTGCCTAAGGAGCCCCCGGCCCCCCAGGGATGTGGGGACAGCGGAGGTGGCAGGGAGGGGGGGACAGCCCTGGCAGGAGATGCCCTCTGCTCCCTGCAGGGCCCTGCTCCCAAACGTGCAGCACTTCCTGTGGCTGCTCCTCCTGTCCCAGCCAAACCAGGAGCTCACAGATCACCTGAGCTCCTCCTATCCCAAACCAGGAGCTCACAGACCACCTGCAGCTCCTCCTATCCCAAACCAGGAGCTCACAGATCACCTGAGCTCCTCCCTCCGAGCTCTCCAGCTCCCGTCCACTCACCCTCCAGCTCCTGGCCATCCTCCTCCTGCCCAGCACTCACTAGCACCATGTTTAATTAACGCACTGCTGCATCCTCTGCTTTACCTGTTCATCACCCGAGGATGGTGATGGATCCTGACACTCCCCAACCTGCTGCTCATGGATCCTGAAATTCTCAACCTGCCCATGGACCCTGAATTCCACACCCTGCTCATGGATCCTGAAATCCACACACTGCCCATGGATCCTGCAACACTCAACCTGCTCATGGATCTGAAATCCATACCCTACTCTTGGATCCTAAAATCGCATACCCTGCCCATGGATGCTGCAGCCCAAGGGCTCCATGGTGTCCCACCAGGAAGGCTGTGGGCAGGGCAGAGAAGGAGGAAGGAGGGAGGAAGGAAGCAGGAGGAAGGAGGGGTTTGGGATCGCCCTTACCTGCTCCTGCAGGCTGACAGCCCTGCGGGCACGGCCCCCCAGCAGCCAGTGGGGGGTGACCCTCTCTCCATGGGACAGGGACCCTGGGGACAGGGGAGGAGAGAGGAGAGAGCTGCTGAGCAGAGACTGAGAGAGCTGCAGCCCTGCACAGCCCCAGCACAGGGACAGAGCTGGGCACCAACACCCGGAGCCTCGTCACGGGTGTTTCAGGGGATGGACCCAGCCCCAAGGCAGTGCCACTCCCAGTGCCACCTCCTCCCCAGTGTCATCCCCTCCCCAGCCCCAGGACAGTGTCACCCCCTCCCCAGCCCAGCCCCTCACTGCTGGCTCAGCCTTAGTCCTGGAAGCCCCCAGGAGCATTGCTCCCACCCAGGCCCCATGGGCCCAAATCCCCTAAATCTGCCCCCTGGACATGCTGCTGCCCTGGGAGCTGTGGCTGCCCTGGATCCCTGCAGTGTCCCAGGCCAGGCTGGACGCTGGGAGCAGCCTGGGGCACTGGGAGGGGTCCCTGCATGGCAGGGGTGGCACTGGGTGGGCTCTGGGGTCCCTCCCCACCCAGAGTGCTCCATGGCTCTGTGGTTGTGGGCAGGGTGGTTCCATCACCCCAGTGCAGCTCTGTGCCCCAGGGCTGGGCTGCAGCAGGATCCCGAAGGCCGTGCCTGTCAGGGTTTGCTGAGCCATCCCAGCCCCCCCGGGCAGGCAGCACAAGCCATTCCTTGGCTCCAGCCAAGGCAGACAGACTTTCTAAGATTATTTTTTTCCTAAACAATGTGGCTGGATTTGACTGCAGGGCAGGGAGCAGCCACTGATGACTTAAACCCGGATGACAACAGAACAAAAAACGAAAATCTGAGGCTGCTGCAGAGAGGGGACGAGGTTGAACAAAAATGTCAAGGGTTGGGCCATCTTGCCAAGCCAAATGTTGTCAGGAGAGTTTGTGTGGAATTATCTTCCCCAGCGAGGTTATTTACTCAGAGAGTGGAATTACAGGGCTCAGGGCTCTCTGGTTTTAGAGCTTGTTTTGGTACCCCGTGCTGAGCTCCGGGGCTTTGGCTCGAGGGAAGATGAAGTTATTGGAGAGACAAAGGAAAAACAAAGGTGGAGCTGTGGGCTGGGAATTGCTGCTGGGGCGGGGTGGGCTCGGGTCACCCCGCCCGGCCACCTTTGTCCCTCGGGAGCGCCCGGCGCTATCGCCCGAGGTATTTAATCAGTGCCATTAAATATAGCCTGGGATCAGATTCCAGGAATAGCTGCAGATAAGGGGTGGCACCATCCCAGCTTCCTTCTCCTCACCTCCTCCCAAAGTGGGAGCCAGGCCCTGCACCCCGGCCTCACATCAGCTCATTGTCCGTGGGGAAACTGAGGCACGGAGCAGCCCCGGCGGGTTTGGTGCCTCCCATTCCAGAGCCAAGCAATAAATCCCTCTGTTTTCAATTCCCACCGGGAGCAGGGCAGGGAGCTGTGCCGGCCCCAGCTCTCTCCCACGGCTGGGGAGAGGATGGGACACCAGGGGCTGGGCCGGGCTTCGGCCGCGTCCCAAAAATCCCTCAGCAGGGAGATTTAGGAGATGAGATTTCAGTTACGATATTTTAAATTTCCCACTGTTTTGTTTGTAGCTTTTGCTGGGAATCTGAGAGACTCGGAGCACGAGACGGGGCCTCCGAAATGTAACTCAAATAAACCCAAAGGCAGCGCAGAAAGGGTTTCCCACACCCCCCTCCTCTGGATTTCCTGGAAAACATCGATCCCAGCCCTTTTAGGGAGCGCTGTGGGGAACGGCGCTGCTGTGGGGTTTGGGATGGCGGCACCCCGAGCTGCGGGGCTGGGGGAGCCCGGGGAGCCCCGCAGAGCCCGGCTCCCCCCGGAGCTGGCAGCTTTCCCTTCTGCTCCTTATCCAAACACGGCTCCGGCCCCACCGCCCTCCCGCTCCCCTCCCAGCTGCTCTCTTGCAGTTGCTGGAAAACTTCTCAGCAGCAGCCGAGAGCCCGGCAAAGCTGTAACAAAAAAATGTGCTCTGGCTGGAGGAACATCAGCCCTGACTTCTTGGAATGGCTGGGGACGGAAATAGGGATGAGGAAGAGGCGACAGGGCGAGGAAGGGAAACGGGCAGCCCCTCTCCTCCTCCGGCTCCCATCTAAAAAGCGATGGGGGAGCCCCGGGGAAAGTCTGGATTTCCTCACGGATCGAAGGAGCCACGTTTCAGGGCAGGAGCCGCAGGGCAGCGCAGACCCCGAACTCCTGCTCAGAGCCGCGGCTGGCACGGGATGGGTGCTCCGGGATCACCG